CCTCATTTCAGGGGAGAGGACGGGCGGGGCATGCCAGGGAACAAATTAGATCGCAAAATTTCTGTAAAATAAAAAAAGTTACGAGGACAAGTTTGGTCGCGTACTCAAACCTTGGGAGAAGACACTGGAATGGGCTTTAATATCATCTCTAAACCCCTGCCCGACCAACGGCGAACGCGTGTATTTAGGGGCAGTGTGCCCCAACCTCGGGCGAGGTCATTGAGGTATATTTTCCAGTGTAACCACCAAAACCAACTGGAAAAAAGGTTGACGCAGCACAAAAGAGGGAAGATTGGGGAAATCACCCTACTTAAAATTTGTAAGTAAGCAGTTATTCCCGTAGGTAATTTAAAGGCTAATTTCGCTTAGTATACTGACTTAAGCGGTCATGGTATGCGGTGACCTTCGGAGGACCACTCTGCAGTTCAATGCCATCAACAAATCCCTGCTGGACCGACGGATGACGTGTAGAAAACTGGAAGATTATGGGCAATTCAACCTACTTAAAACATGTAAGTAGGTGGCTGTAATACATAAGAACCTTTGAAAGACCCCTCTGGGAAACCCTACCGATTTTTTACTGCGTGGTTTGAGAAACAGATATAGCCTTAAGGTTTCGTAAAATAATGAGATTGGTCAGCGAGCTCCTAGATCATCCATTTAGAATCTGCTACGCCCAATTTAGTCGGTTCCGAAATGCATGGCAATTCGAGATAATTTAGTGTAGGCTATGGCGCTATATATATAGGACTGTATATATATGGGTGCCCGAGGAAAACAGTAGGAAACTCGAAAACATAAATAAGAGCATGTTATGGGTAGATGTAACAGACTTAATGAATTTAACTGCACATGTCCAAGAGTTGGTGTTTTAAATGTGCTTGTGGAGAGGAAAGAAGAGAAACGTGCTGAGATTGCCCCGGCAGATGATCTCCCAGATGACCTCAGAATTGTCATCAGCTTATTGTAAATAACACCAATCTGGAAGTTTTGCTCGCAGCCAGAATGATTTTGGGAAAAGAGAGATTTCAATAATGTTAATTTTGGCCTTAAAGTGTAAAAATCGATACCGGACATTCTTCCGTCATAAAAGGCAATAACCACCAGTATTCCAACGAGACAATGTTAATTTCCGCAGCTGCCACATTATTGGTCTTTCACACACCCATAATGTTTCAGTCCGACGACACGAGCAAAATGATTGGGGATGGACGTGGACGCGGCGCGGCGCGGCGCCTGACCTAAGAGGCTGGCACGACAGTTCGACCGTCGGTTTTGACGAGGTGCACCTTGTGCCAAAAAGTAAGGTGTCGCAGGGACGATTACCTGTACGTGAATTAAATTATATGAGTAGTGAGCTTTCGCTGTATCTACTGCGCTCTCTCCCGTTCCCCCAATTGGGCCCGGTGCCATGACTAAGTCAAGAAGACTGGAGACGGAAGAGGGCTCCGATGGCTGGCGCGGCCACACTTGACAGTCTACTAGCCTGCGAGCAGATTAAAGTGTTTGGAATCCCGTTTAGATCTACAAAAAGATTCGAGCCTTATTCTAAACTAGCGCGGAAGCCCGCCTTCGCCTTGGGCTTCCTTACATGTTGTTGTCC